AAATCTGCCGTGAACACAGTCGCTGTTAACCATTTCTAAATATTCTCATACGTAAGAACTAGAAACGGTAGCAGTATTATCATCTGAAACAGTCTCTATTTTGTGCTTACAGACCTCTCTCAGAATCTGTCTTCTATCATGATGGTTCCATGTAATGATACGAATGTATGCCTTTTTCTCGGTATGGTAACCACGAATTGGATACGCATGGGTGACTTTTATTCCAAACTTTGATTTATCAATCTTTTCTGTCCCTGAAATAATTTTTACTAATTTTAGTTTGAATATAGATAAAGGTTCGTTATCAGGTACAACGACATCAAAGAAGAGTTTGATACCTATAATGTCTATCCTAGCCTTTTGCCCATTAATCAAAGTGCTGTGAATATGTAGAATATACGTCGATACATTTTTTATATACTCAGTGGTATCACCTATATCGTTAGGCATAAAGTACACGAGTTGTTTATCGGACAAGCTTTGTTGGAGTATGGCAGTTAATCCATTATCACATTCCGAAATAATATCACTGTGAGTTGGAATCCTGGCTAAGGTTTTCCTGCCCCCGTACTGGATCACTTGTGCGTTTTGTTTACTCATTTTTGGTATTTGGTTTTATATGTTATGAATCTATCAGTTATCAAAGATATATTATCCCAATATATTTTCGAAAGTTTAAATTATTTTTTTCAGTTGGTGGTAAGTGATAGCAAAAAATATATATCGAATATTGGCAAGAAAAATATAAAGAGTCACAATTTTAATATTGGTTAACAGATAGAGATAACTTCAGTAATATATCTATATAAAAATGGAAGTTGCCTTCATTTTGGATAGGTAGTAATCAGGTGTATAAAATGGAAGAATACTTCAGTTTACATGGTAAGTGATCAAGTATAGATAGTTGATGGTATCAAAAATGTATTGAGTTTTAATAAGAAAATTGTTAAAAAAGTAACATCCAGTATAAGGGTAACAAGTGAAGGTAACTTCAGATATATTATATAATAAAAATAGAAGAAGCCTTCATTTCAGTGATATGTTTTCGGGTAGGTCAAGGTGAAGGTAACTTTGGATATATTATATAATAAAAATGGAAGAAGCCTTCATCTCTCACATGTGGTCAAAGTATATAATCAGGTATGTGAGCGGGCATGTTTTCGGGTATATGTCGGGATAGGTAACATCAGATTTATTGACTGATTTTTCTAAGCTAAAATACATGCTTCTTTTATACAAAAATTGTTAAATCAAAACTACCAATGATATTCACAAGAAAATTGCTTGCTTGCTCACTTGTTCGCTTGCTCGCTTGCTTGCTCGCTTGTTTGCTTGCTCGCTTGCTTGCTCGCTTGTTCGCTCACTTGTTCACTCACTTGGTCACTAATCTTGTGATCTAATATAAATATAAATATAGATTATCTAGTGTAACCTAAATAAATGATCTATATATTATTTGTAAATAATAATATAAATGTGATACAAATAATAATATAAATAATAGTACAAATAATAATGTAATACGAAATGTAAATAAGAAGATCTTAACTAATTAAATATAAACATGTGCTTTCAAAATTATCCAATAAGATTAAATGATAATTTTGACTAATAATTAATGTGAAATTCCATTATACAACAGTATTTATTATTTATAAAAAAGATTTATAAATAATTTTTTATAGCTCTTTAATTATAATAGTTCCCAATTTGTTATTTTTAATATATGATTATATAAAATATTATTATATTAACATATTTTGTGATCTTAGAAAATTTTGTTTTATTATTCTAAAGAATATAATATCAAATTTTCATGAATATTTAACAATTTTTTATTAATTTAAATAAAATATATATTCATAATTACTTTTCATGTTGACTATAAATTGATTTTTAATATCTTACAAAAAATAAATTTATTTTTAAATTAAGAATAATTAAAAATTAATATTAAAACTAATAATTAATTAAATTAAATTTTTACTTAATTAATTATATATTTACTAAATAATAGATTTACTTAAAATTAAATTTTAATTTAATTTTATAAATATTATTATTATATATAATAATAATAAAAAGAATAAAATGCTAAAATATATTTATTAATAAAACATAAAAATATAAAAAATACAGATTTTTCTCTTTATATAAAAAATAATTTTATATATAATTAGAATAGTTTTATCAAATTAAATCTAAAAAATTTGAAAATATATATATTAAAATATGTAATATTATTTTTATTTTAATATAAAAATAAAAAATATTTATTAGTAAAATCAAAACTTAATATAAAGAAAAAAATTTATATTTTTTATATTTTTATTAGTAAATTTGTTTTAGTATTTTAATTTTTTTTAATTAGTACTATATATATAAATTTAAATAATAAAATAATATAAAAAATATTATAAATATTATTTAATAATTATTATATATACTTCTATTTATTTTAAGTATATTTATTATATTACTAAGATAAATAAGAGTATTATGACAAATATGAGTATTTTGATGACTTATATTTATTTAATTATAGCATGTAATTCACTAATTAAAATTAAGTGATTTTTATATCATTTGATTTATTTTGTTAAAATAAATCAAATAATGCAAAAATCACTCAATTTTGATCAGTAAATTAAAAGATAAGAATATAATAATGAGAATATTTTGATGAATTACAGATATTTAACTATAATATATAATTCATTAATCAAAATCAAGTGATTTTTATACTATTTAATTTATCTTGTTAAAATGAATCAAATGATACAAAAATCATTTAATTTTGATTAGTAAATTAAAAGATAGAGATATTTTAATATACAATATATATATTTTACACTTTTTTTTTGATCATATTACTTTATTTTTTTAAATTTTTATTTATTTATTAAAAAAATACTTTATTAAATTTGTCAATAAGTATTTTATTAAATTTGTCATATTACATTTAGTAAGTAAATTATGTTATTATATTTATTACATACTATTTTAAGTTAAAATAATATTACAAATTTAATTAATTAGTATAAGTCAATTTGTATCACACTCAACAAGCTCAAAAAATACTTTACTAATTTTAAATATTCAAGTGTAAATAACATAGCAAAAGATTTTGAACTTTCAGAAATTATTCTTCAATGTGCAATCAAAAATAATAATTCTCTTAATCATCAAGAACCAGTAACTATACTTACTAAATATGAAAAAGAATAGCTTGTTGGCTATTGTATTAATATGCAAAAACTTAAGTTTGATTTAACAAAGTCTGGAGTTAATTATTATGTGATAAAAATTATGAATCAAAATAAATAATTATATTTATTTAATAAGAATGAACCTAATCAAGATTGGTAATATTATTTTATAAAAAATTATTCTGAATTATTATTTTATATTCTGCAAGAATTATTTGAAACTCATACACAAAAAGCTAATACAACTATTATTAAAGATTATTTTAACAAGCTTAAACAAATCATTGATAAAAATTTAATTACTGTTATACAAATTTGAAATATGGATGAGATTGAATTTATTCTTATACCTATATTGACAAAGATTATTGTGAAAAAAGATATATATTAAATTCATAAAATGAACAAGAAAATTCACATGAATATGTTTTAATTGTTTTAACAATTTTATTTGCAGGAGTATATATTTTATCTCTGCTTATTTATAAAGTATTTGTGTAATTTCTGACTTGTTAGAAGATATATTTTTTGAAATTATAATAAGTTTTACAAACTCAAAATATATATATAAAGAACTTTTTTAATTATATCTTAATTATTTTATTAATTTGATTCCATTTATTCAACCAGTCTTATTAATACTTAATAATTACAAAAGTAATGTAAATTATACAAGTATCAATTTTTGTCACAAAAATTGAATCCTTCTTTATATACTTTTATCTTACATGACATATATCTGAAATTTCTTTTGCAAAATTAAAAAAATATAACAAAAAATGTAAAAAATATTGCAATAAAAATAATAAAAAAATAATAATTAAATATATCTTTACAAAGATTTTTGGCTCTATTTTTATTATAACTTATATATTATTAGCTATTTGTAATATCTACATAAAAATTGTTAATTTCAAAAATAGTTAAAAAATATAAAATATTTAAAAATATTTATATAATAGCAAAGATCTCTCAAATTATTTTATCTTTTATTTTTTATTTTATCTTTTATTTTACTTTTATTCTTTATTTTACTTTTTATCTTTTATTTTACTTTTTATCTTTTATTTTATTTTTTATTTTACTTTTTGTCTTTGTTATATCTTTTTAATTAATTATTTTATCTTTTAGATAGTTATTATTATTTGAAATTATATTTTCAAAAAATATATAAATAGAGATGCTATCTGAGTCTTAATTCAACATGTTATTACTAAAAATAAAAATTTCTCTTAACAAAAATCTTCTTCTAAATAACTCTTATCTCTCATATTTTCTTTATATACTTTAATCTTGTATATAAATGATCTTATATCATATTGTATCTAATAAATTACTAATAGCTTTATATTGTATTGTATTGAGCAAATTGTTGTTATTAACTTTGGATTTTATATCATATTGTGTTAAGCAAATTACTGTTATTGACTTTGAACTTTATATTATATTGTACTGAACAAATCATTGTTATTGAATTATTAAGCTTTATATTATATTGTGATAAACAAATTACTATATTAGAATTATTAAAATTGGATTTTAAGTATTTTAATTTTTGTTATTTGAATTTTTTGATTGTTAATGAATATTTCTCACTTGTGAGAAGAACAAAGTGAAAGAGTCTTTGTTATTGTTATTATTAATTATATTGTCTTAGCTTTAGAAAGCTTTGCACAAGCACAAAAAATTAGCTTTTTAAATCTTCTTTATACTTTTTTCTTTGACTTTTACTTTTCCACAATTTTCTCATATTATTATTCTTTTTATTTAATATAATTTCTATAGAAATTGAAATAGATCTTAGATACTTTTCTTTATCTTTTAATATTTTTATTAATTTATTACTTTCTTTCAATTTAGATTCAGATTTGTAAGCTAATTTAATAATTAGTGAACAAACATATAATAATACTATTAGTTCAGATTGCTTAAATTCATCATTAATAACTGAAAAATTTGAAAATGTATTTTCATTTAGTTAATTTTTTATGCAACTAATCAAGTTACTTCTAGTATTATAATCATCTAGTAAACCAATCACTTGTTCAAATATTATCCAATTAGAAAAAAATTACAAGTTAATTATAAATAAAAATAAAATATTAAAAGTTTAACTTGCAATAATAATAAATAAATTAGAAATTACAAAAATTCTAAAAGAAATTTCTTATACTCAGTTCTCAAATATACAATTCTTTATGTTTTACAAACTAAAATTCTAAAAGTTTCTTTAGAAAATCAAACTGAATTTAAAATTTCTGTCTCTAAAAAAGAAAAACTCTTTTTTTGTACAACTTTTTACTAATAAAGAAAATTGGTAGCAATTAAACAAGTTAAATAAGAAAGCAAAAACAAAAATTACAAAAAGAAAGAATTAATAACTCAAAGAAA